TAAAACTTTCGTGACTGCAGGAATTCATGTTCTTGATTCTTTCGGTAAAGTCACGTAGATGGAAAACAAAAATCAAAATTCAAAGCAAAAAACCCACGACGTTTCGATCGCAGCACAAGCGGTCTTCATCAGGTGGAGATACCACTCGCCATTGATGTTAGCCACATTTCGGAATCAAACTCGGGTTCTTCGTGGAGCGTTCTAACCACAGCGCCACCAAGGTGACAAACCTTCCTAATTGGCTGTGTCGGGTGGTGGTGGATTCAACGACACATTTATATTTACGCAATTTAACCCAAAACCCTCAATATGTGAATGTATTAATCCACATATACTGCATTGTCACCAAAAGCTTGCTGAGAAGGAACTTACTTTCCATTCTAAGTACTGTAGTACACACTAAAAAAAAACATAGCTCATTAATGCAATCTACATACTGTGGAATCAAACATGTGTAATGAGCCTTCATGGGAAAACAAGTATCGTTAATGCAGTTAAAGCTTCAGTCAATATAAAAATGTGTACATTTCAACTTAATGAGTGCTTTCAGTGTAAGTCAGAAGTTGTGTTCAGCAAATGGAAATACCAGTTTACTTCCGAAGTGATTAACCGGTTTACTCATCGGAATGCACAGGTTGATGTAAATTTTATTCAATCATGGCGTTATGTTTGAAAATGTTGAAAGAATTTGTTAGCAAAAAATGATAATCACAGACCATAAATCAACAGTCGCAAGAGGCAGTCTTTTTTTCAACGTGAAGGTTCACAACTCCCAATACACACGCAATTTAAAATAATTGTAACAAAAAATAGTAGCCAAGCAATTAACATGTTGTACACCGAGTATAGTTTCAAGTTTTTTTTTCAATAATTTTCTATAAAAAAATTTCCTGCCAAAATGGATCACCTACTTGTTGAAGTGGATGTTAAATATGATGATGCTTTATTGAAGAGCCAGTTATTGTTTTCTCTGTGACAGAACAAATCCCAAGCTTGATTTAACATGAATAAATTAACAGATATATGAATTTGGTTCTTCCCATGTAGACCTGCAGTGAAGCATAGGATAAATTGAAGAAATGGGCCCTTCCCTCTCTTCTAAACCCCGAGACAAATGATCACGCTGCAAACTATCCTCACATTACTGATCGTCCCTACCCCCCTGCTTTCCTCCAAGGAAAATTGACGTGGCCAGAACCCATCCACAACTACATTAAAGCCTTGCAACTTGAAAGCTGCCAGGTCCCTAAAACAGCTCTGCAAGGCTCATTAAATACCTGGGCCCCACTCTTAAGCTACGTTCCCATGACTACTGGTAAATGGGCTTATCAGCCCCAAAACAGTCCCGAGACATGCCAGAATGGTCCAGAATATTTCCCACTGAGAGAGCCACCTGGCCCTTGGGTATGGCCCTCGAGCTCCACCCCCACCCCTCCACCACCTTTATCATCGTCATCAGCTATGATATAGCCACTGCTGGATGAAGGTGTCCTTTGCAGTTGCCATACGACGTGATCCCGCGATACCATAATCCATCTTCTGCACACCATACGATCTCATCTCAGCATCTCTGTGATGGACAAACTCTGAGGCATGTTTGCTCCTTTGGTTTCCACTCTATTGACTTGACCACCAGCTATCATCCCTTATAGTCGTGTGTCCTGCCCAAGTCAATTACATGTATTAAGTCAAGTTGAACAGTCAAAATGATGTCTCTACTGACTTACAGAATCACAGAGCCAAATATAAATTGTTTGCGAAAAACATTGGGAACAGAATCGTGGAAAATGTAAAGGTGAAATAACCACACGAGCAATCACATGTAATCAACCAAATTCTGGAAAAGATTAATTTATATCAAATGTCATTATTCCCAGCCTCGTAGACTTAGGAAGAGGTATACGACTCAGTGAAAATTGATTCAGTCATCCAGGTTCTGGCAAAACAATGTCTAAATAAAACATGAAACATATTACGAAGTAAATTTCGATTTAAAGCTTTCGTGACTGCAGGTATTCATATGCTTGGTTCTTTCGGTAAAGTCACGTAGAAGGGAAACAATAAAATAACGTCGTGAGATTTGTATTGTTTTATTTGTATTATTTTATGATTTCCCTTCTACGTGACTTTACCGAAAAAACCAAGAATATATTATGAAGTAGTTGAACGCTATGTTGATGTTGAATAAAGAAAATAACAACATACATATCAGAAGTGGAGTCAGGCAAGGAGACTCACTTTGCCAAAGGTATTCAGTGACATTCTAAGGCTACTCAAATATACTGTGTATTATAGATATACAGGGTGGCTCATACACCTGGCATCATAGGGAAAAATAACTAATTCAGATGTGTTTTTGTTTCTGCAGGCTCAAGATGTCTCTGAGTAAGGAAGAACGAGTCCAGATAATTCTACTCATAGGAAATCGGAATCAGAGGGAGGTCGCTGTTCAATTTAACAGACTGAATCAAGACTGCAAGCCAATAACACAGAGCTTTGTTTTTCCTATGATTCCAGACTTATGGGACACCCTGAATATATTACAATGTTAACGTAAGCCTTGGCAAAATTTAGGCTGCCACAAGCAAACGTCCATCTTACAAAATACGGAGGCGCTATAGTGGCGAGATGCTATCTCCCTCGCCTGGTATGCAAGAGGTCGTGGGTTGGATCCCGATCCTAACGCCTATACATTTGAAGTTTGCCTGTTCTCCCTGTGGTCACGTGGATTTTTCTCCGGGTCCTCCGGTTTTTACCTCCACATTTAGAAACATTCGTTTCGAGTATTTGTCTGCTATAAATTGTCACACGATAAGCCACTTTGTTGAGCTATCATTTGTGGCCAGGTCACTTCTGAAAAGAGCTATATAGCTCAGTGGGCCTTACCTGGTTAAAAAAAAAAATATGAAACTGTTTGCAGTGATGCGCAAGCACAGACTAAATTCAAAACATCCCAAGAGAACAGTTGTGTTAAGATGTTAAAACACCGAACCGAAACCTTTTGCAAGGAATCATATCTGCATTAACCACAGATACTTGTGCTGAGAATACGAACAAAGAATATGCATTTTCTTGGTTCTTTCGGTAAAGTCACGTGACTTTATCGAAAGAACCAATAAGATGAATCCCTGCAGTCACGAAAGCTTTAAATCGAAGTATATGCATTGTCTTTGAAACTGATTGGTCCACACCAGAGACAGCCTAGTCTCAAACAGCGTCCTCTGGTCTAGCACTGTTTGAGACTAGGGTCTAAAGAAAGCTGTCTCTGGTGTGGATCAATCAGTTTCAAAGACAATGCATATACTGTCATGTTTTTTGTTTGTATTCTCACCACAAGTATTGTGGTTAATGCAGACATTATTCCTTGCAAAAGGTTTCAGTTTGGTGTTTTGACATCTTAACACAACTGTTTTGGCGCCAGAAAAAAGGGGAAACCCTATTCTTATATTTTGACACTGGCAAAGGAGGTCCCATGACATCCCAAGAGGAAAACATTTAACTGGCGACGTTTCCATAAATGGCCATTCTTCTCTCTCTCTCTTTGGTATGAAGGAGGTGGGAACATTACCTTAAATGTAACCTATTATATATTGTTTCGTCTTTTGGACAGTATTATTGATGAATGTGTTGAGCATTGGTAATGTCTCTCTTGTAATTTCTGCTACGTTTTTAATAATAATGATAGTGGAAAATCACTACCCTTAAGTTGACTTTGGAGGATGGATGCCATTCATTCATCACCTCACTCATCTGTGGTTTCCCTGCGAGATTACAATTGCTTCACAGAATGGCCCAGGTAAAAAAAAAATGTGCAGTTCCCTTATGAACGAGACCAAGTGGGTCCAGGAATCCGAGTTAAGCTGATCCGGGTAAGGCTGCCATGGGAATCTTGACCGAGTGCAGTTGGCTCGCTCATTTCCCAGTGGCCATAGAAGCATTAAATGAGTGGCCCTTGCTGCTGTATAAGCGCCCAAGGTAAGAAGATCATCTCGTTACCAATTTAAAGTCTCCCCTTTAGTAATACCTGTAGTTTTACAGGGCAAACCAGTGTCCTGAGACACCTTGAATTAACTGAAGCAATGCAAAAAAAATTCCCCGTGTAACTTGGTTACCTGGATTTCAGGCTGTGAAAAAATCTTTACAGTGCTTAGCAAATAGCATGTTTAAGCAAAGGATATTATCACTTTCTGTAGGTGGTCATTTGATCACGGGAGCCAACCTCCATGTTAATTTACCGATTGTGTAATTTGTGCCCATGGAAACTCCAATGGTAGAGTGCGGCTCTCACTCAAAGATCACGCTGTGTGTTCATTGTGGAAGGCACACGCGTGCTACCAGGTGGCACATTTCGACCGTGATAACGGTACTCCTCAGATGCTGCCACGGTGCTGTGTTTGGCACACCGGGCTTGCGATCCAGAGGTCAACCGATTCAATCTCTCGGTGTGGCAGTTGAAACAATGGTGGGAATGCATTAAATCACCCCACCCTCTGGTTCACCCGCATTTATAGATGATGGGCACACCACAGTGAGTCCATCATGGTGGGGGAAGCTGCGGGTAATGCCATATTTTCATAGATGTCTGACCAGCATGTAGGAGTAGACCAAAAAAAAATATCCTCAAAAGGGGCTCCATAGAGTTCCCTCTCGTGGAGGTGCTTCTGCCAGCAGTGGCGTGAGCAAGGAATTGCAGGGCTGCGCCGTTGCCGGCACTGCCCCAGTCCTGCAACGGTGTTATAAGAGAGCCTTAATATCAAAAACGCGTTAAGGAATACTTTATTCAAGTAGTGGCATCCCAAACTCTCACGGTAGTACAGCATTTCATGCTAATTCCAAGCTTTCACAGTGGCACATTTTATGCTAATTCCTTTGTCAAGACGTTTTCTGTTTACCCCCTCACATTCTCAAAGGCGACCTGGGCTTGGCTTTCTTCACTCCAACGCTGTCCTCTGAACAGTTTGGTCCCTTCACCTGATGAAGGCCACTTGTGTTGTGGCCGAAACGTCGTGATTTTTTGTTGTTTTATTTTTTTACCTACGTGACTTTACCGAATAGAACCAAAGAGTAATACTTAATACCCCCCACAAATGAGAGTCCATCGTTAACATCCATTCTGACCGACAGTGGTTCCTTTGAGAAAGTCAGTTAACGACGTAACACAAGGGATGGAACCGCAGTTTAAATTGGTGATTATGAAGTGCGAATATTCTACTTGGGTGCCGAGCCCTATGGCCTCGGATAATGCACATAATTTGTAATGCAAGCAAACTTAATATTTTGATTACTTTTGTCTCGTCCATTTCTAATTCGCGGCGTGCCAAAATTCCCTGTGGTGAGCACAACTGGAAACGGTGCCGGGGGAGCGGTCGCTGAAGCGGTCCACTCCTTCACCTTCAAGGATTTGCACCGCGGTCGCAGGAGACAAGCAATATTAGTGCCCTTGTTGTGATTGTATGGGCCCAAAAAGTGTACATTGCACACAGGATTATTATAGCAGACACCCCCCCCCACCCCTGCCTTCCCCCGACGCATGAATTAAGCACAGGTAAATTACAATGCTGGCCTCTAGCAGACAGTTGCCTCGAGTGACTTTCCTTCAGCTGCAGGGCCCTATTCGAAATAACAAAACCTAATCGCTCAATCAAAAGTTACAGCCCTCACACCTGGGTTTCTTGAATTTAGGCCAGCGAATAAGCATCCCTCGAAAAATTTGCATTTTACAAAAAGACATGCCTCGGGCAATAGATTAAGTATACATGTGTTTTAGTTACACTCGTGGTTCTCAAATGTGGCATCATCTACTCTTAAAGGAGTACGCCTGCCTGTACACATTCACATCACTTTCAATTCAGCGCTGCACGTTCATTGCATTACAACCCGCTATGCATTGTGACTTAGGTTCAAACAGCACATTACACGTGTTAGAAACCCTATCAATGTCATACATTGCAAATTAAAAACCTATTCCGAATAACCTCTCCTTTAATTGCACAATATGCAGTAGTTGTAACTGAGTACAGTATATCTGCTAAAAAATAATTATGGTTGCATTTTTAATCATACATTATTTTTATTATTATTAAATGAAACGTTTCCACATTTCATCTTTAACACATACACTTGTTGATGAATTAGTTAACAAAATGTCCTCATGTTGCTTTACCACTGTTTATATATTATTTTGGGTTAAGTTTCTTTACTTTTAACGCTGTAATTGACACATAAGTGCAGGATTTTAGTGTTTGCACTTTGAAAATCAATACTAAACACAAAACTGCATCATTCTAAGTTTCCGGGAAACACTTGTAAAACAATGCCTATTACAACAAACATTTAACAAGCAACATTCTCAAAGGTCACCGAAAACTGACACACAAAATATTTGATCATCGAACGGTACGGTGATGCTTCTCAACAAAGAATTTGGCACATCTTAAACTGACCTATAGCCCAGAGGCGTTATCACGTGACCATTTTAAAATGTTGGTTAGAAGGCAGCAAAAAAAAGACTTCGTACACAACCACAGCTGTAAGTTGTTTCACAAATGGAATGCAATTTCACGGGTGGAAAAATAGCATGGGTTACATTAAATAACGGTATACAGCTTATTCTTGGTTCTTTCGGTAAAGTCACGTAGAAGGGAACAATAATGATGATTGCGTGTGTTGCAGTCGAAACGTCGTGAGAATTTTATTGTTTTATGGTTTTATTATTTTATTGTTTCCCCTCTACGTGGTGACTTTACCGAAAGAACCAAGAATATGAATCCCCGCAGTCACGAAAGCTTTAAATCAAAAGGTACACTGCTCGTCAGATCTCCAATCAGCAGAGCCACTGACAAATGTGGCGCAAATGCCACCGTTGACCACACACGCAGGGCTCGATTCACGTAGAGTTTGTTTTCACACGTTTATGTACAAGCAAATCTCGCTTAATTCATTAGGTCCGATGCGACGCGCGAGCGCTGCCAAGATTCGGAGCCGCACTTGCCGACATGCGCGGGCTGGTCCTGCCAATGTCCTGAGCCAACCATTCCCCAGGCTTCTGGCTGCTTCCGCACGTGGGCACACCAACGCGCGTGCGTGTGCGTCCGTTCTAACCCGACCAGCGTTTTGTCATTCCCGCAAGATGTGGTATAGGTTGCGGCTGAACGGTTGTATATTTTACGCGGAAGTGGCTGCACTTGAATTAAAAGAAAATGTTTAAACGAATAAACACAGGAATGTGGCGGAATTATGGCCGAAATTGCGACATGAATCAGACCCCGAGCAATGGGATGTGTACCACTTCAAGCTTTAATATCTAAAGCAAAAAAACTTGCGAGCAACTAACAACATACACCTGCATGTATTAATTATATCTTCGTCAACCATAAAATTTTTACTTGGAAACAAACACCATTTAGACACGGTAAAGCATACGATCGTGTAGTCATAAAATAATGATTCCCCGTACTTGAAGCGCAAATTGGCAGTGCAGGCAGAAAAACCCAGAGTTGCCATCAAATGGGGCAATAATGAGCAAGAGCAGGCAACCATCATTGCAATCATGCTGCCAGCTATTTCCCTGGAACCCCGAGTTAGCTGATACGCCATATTCTTAAGAAAGGAGCTGCAGTCATGGCAAAACATGCATAAGCACAGCCATACATTTTCCGCAAACAAAAAACAATCCCCCAGAAATCGTATTTAGTTTTGTTGTGTCAATTAGCACATGTACAAATGCCCATTGTGCTGCGAGCAGTGAGAGCAAATGCCGCTTGTCAGCACCTATTAAGATCGACAACACCAAGCGGGAGAGTTGGTGAGGCCAACATTACACGCCTATCCACCTTTGTCTCCACAGCGCTGATGTTCACACACTCTACGAAAGTAGCCATTGTGGATTGAACTGATGTAGGGAATTCCCCAGCCTATGATGAGATTACATTTTTTTGGTATTTTTGCACGGCCAAGGAAAACCTCCCAGATTCGCCGGATCATTCGCCGGATCATGGTACAGTATGTACAGCATGCTAACCGCTGCACCACCATTCCTCAATCAATCCACACACACACACACATGTATACATTCATATTATTAGTTTGATGTGTTGTGATATAAAATCGTTAATACTGGAAAATTCAGGTGGTCCAGGTGGTTCAAATGCCAGAGCACTGATCTGGCACTGCTGAGCTCATGGGTTCGAATGTAGGCATCCACCTTTGTTCTCAAGCATAGCAAGTTGATGGTCTCCGCTACATCACCAATCACTACACACACCAAACCATCGTCCAATTGAGCTAAATTCCACACTAAAAAATACTCATTTGAATGTCAAATGATGAACACGGTTCTGGGTGGGTGGGAAAGTGCTTCCACCCTCCATTTTGGATCAGAGGTCACTTGAAGAGATCTCAGAGGCAGCTCTATGATATCAATTTCAGTGGGGCCGTTCTCGAGCGGCAACGGTCGTACGGCTCTGCAAGATGTCCCAATGGATACCTTGTTCAATAACAAGATGAAAAACACACAATCTGTATTAAAATTGAGAAAGACAAAAATATAACATGCATAAAGCGCCGGTACATTTTAATGACAGTTATACGAGAAAAAAATGCCAGCAGATAAAGGTGTTAATCCCTTTCAAACACTACGATAAGCATATTTGCAATGCTAAACAGTAATTCAAGTGTTATACTGGCGTTCTACGTCATAATCGCATTCGCTTAGCATCATTTAAATTGGCGCTGAATTGTATGCATTTATCTAAATTAAGGACCAATTAACTGAAGATTCAATATTTAGTCCAGTGGTGCCAACATTGGTATTTTACTGCCTCGTGCAATATGCAAACATGAAGGTTTAAAAAAAAAATGTTGACAAGTATATGTGAACAGCAGGAAGCACTGAGCCATCACTGTCACTGGAAGGCACAACGTGTTCAAGAATCCAGCTTAAAAAAAAATATCACACCGAGTTCAGAAAAGGCGGCACACGGAGGGTAGGGGAACATTCTGTGGGCATGGGAATGTAGGGCGGGAACCAAGAGATGGGACTTCAAATTCCGTCATGTTCAAGAGCAGCCCATGCGTAAAATTTATGTTGTACAAACTGAACGTGAAAAGTGGGCTTGCTACAGCAGGGATTTAACAGAAAAAAAACACATCAATTAGACTTATGGAACAATGTTACGTAAAATATATTTTTAAAAAAACTGCAAGGGTAAGAGTTTATTTTTTGTGGATGCTTACGCTTGTACAAATGTCCTGCAGCTAAAATTTCCCAGTCTTACCCATGTACATAAATGGCATTCTCCTCACCGCATAATGCGCCTCCAGACATGGATGTGTCTAACATCTTCTTGTTGCAGCTGAAAGGGAAGGGGGGGGAATGAAAAGCACACTTCTCTTATCATTTATTTCAAACTTACTTTTACGTGCCACCTGGATCTCCAGCTAAATGAGAAGCTATGAGAATGAGCATCATTACCATAACGTCACGTGTGCCAATTCCCACAAATTAAAGGACATCATAAAAGGATGAGAAAGGCTTACAAGGAAAAAAAACACACGGGAAAAACTTCGTGACCTACTTACCAAAAGTTTTTCATTCATATATTTATTGTGAGGACCATAACTACTTTTGCTTATAATGTTTCGACGACGTGTGGACTTTGGCTATTGCGTTGAGTCAGACTTAAGAGGTCTATTTTGCTTCCAACTTGAAAAATTATTTTTTTGCGGTGCCAAAAATGTGCCTCGTAATTTGAACCCTTAGGTTTCAAACACAGTAAAAAAAATCCAGTTGTACAGTAAATGTATTGCGTATCATGATATACATCGTTTAAAGTTATGAAACGACTATTATTTGTGCAGAAATTTATTATTCAAATGTAAGTGGGAAGCAGTGCAAAGAACCAAGTTAGCGCAATTCAATTCCTGGCCACTGCTAACATTTGTGGCGAGTGATATTCGAATCAGTCCTGGGTCTCCCGCTGTACCCAACCATCAATTACCAGCGTGGTGAAGTATGGTCCAACAGCCCCGTCCGAGATGGTGTGGCGAGATATTCATCAAGCAGGCGATTGGCCAAGGGCGCTAAAAGTTATTAGTGTAAACGTATGTAAGAATACAGGGAGATTGCAACCATGGAAAGGCAATTCACGGTAAATTATTTTTCATTCGAAAAGTTAATTTCACGAGAACATTTGGGCAAATGTAACTAATTCTACACACGACATGTACAGTTGTTTTTCTTCCGATTTGTTGAATGATGTCTCGTTCTGCCGAATATTGCACGTGTTTAGGGAGTTCTCAACACTGGCACATGCACTTCACTTCGGAGATTGCCAGCACCCTCGTGGTGCATGACTTGTGCGTTGTGGCTTCATCCAACCTCGTGGTGCATGAACAAGTCATGCACCACGAGGTTGGATGAAGCCACAAAGCGCACCTCACAAACCCCTCCAACCATTAGAGAAATGCAGGCCTTGCCAGAGGAAAGTTATCTGTTCATATCCACTAATGTGATCAAGTAAACCGCATTATGCTTTGACAAATACCAGGTAAAGTAGGGTAAATTGCAGAATGATCGTTCAATGTCAAAGGGACGCAATGCTGCAGTCGTGGAAGAAGGGCATTAACAATCTGAAAAGGTGTGGGGAATTTTGGAGCATTCCATCATGGGTGTGTCCATACAATGGTTGTTGGTTCGGCAGGACATGCACACGTTGAAATTCCAAATCCTTAGCAGCCACCCGTGCCCACTTTCCACATGCTGTCCTTGCAGATATTCATAATTGGGCCAAGTTGAGAGTATATTAGATCAATGATCAGAGGGGGGAAAACCCCATCCTATATTAAACATCGAGAAGGTAATACATTATAACTTTAAACAAGTCTGAAAAGCAGCCCTTGTGGAATAATCTCTCCAGCTGTTTCATTATATCAATAATTCTGCTCAGTGGTTATGAATCATTTTGCATATCGCAGACACATTCAAGATAGAGGTACAGTAATCATTCTGTAGTTTACACACACCACGGAATAGTATATATTTTTTGGCAAAATGAGGCTCTACGATGCAGCTGAATCTCAGTTCAAATCCCAGTCACAGCGATGATCAGTGGCGAGTGATACATTAATTGGTTTTGACTTCTCCTCTAACACAGTCCCTTCACTAAACTGCACCAACTGGTGTGGTCAAGTATGGTCAAACAACTCCCTTGGCCTCTCTCCAACGGCTTGATTAAACGCAAGAACTTTGTATTAATTGCACAGCGATGCATTTTACCACGACTATGCAAATGCACGCATGCATGTTGGTCAATATCACCCACCCTATTTTGTATGTTAATTTAAAAATGTTGTGACTTGCTTGCCTTTCCTATACTTTGCACTGCTGTCGTGCTTTTTGCAGCGCGTTTGTTGCTGTGACGTTTCTGAGCCACCGCTCCTCCTGGACATCTGTGACAAAGAGCTTCATAGCTCATCAGATTCCTCCAGTCTAAAATAAAGATTCCGATTCTGATTATTTGCAATGCAACATATAAGCATTTATGCACGGTTTTTCGGGATTCCTAACGCATGCAAAAGTATGGCTAAATGTAAAAGACCATTCAATTTTTACTTGCAGCAAACGTGAAGTCAATTTGTTTCCTTACGTCATAATTAACATTGAACATACTGCTCACCCTAAGCTGTAATTATGTCGAACGTGATAAATGACGCTTTAATGATGTTAGATCCATACATATGAATGTATTGCACTGTGATGCAGAAATACTTAACGGGGTTGTTTGGCCACTCCGGGAAGGGGGGGGGTGGCTCACGCCGCCGCGCTGGTATCAAAGCACTGAGCCAGCACTGCTGATGTCCCAGCGGAGATTAAACCCAGGTTCTCAAGTATATCGAGCTCAAGGTCTGAGCCCACTTGTCAATGAACGTGCAAAAAAAAAAAACCTATTACCGCGTGTATATGTATTGACTTTTCACATAATTCAACCCAGTCCAACTCGAAGGGCCAAATTGGTAAATATGTACATTGTATGAACGGAATACGCTCATCAACTCTCTCCATACCGCACGGAGTGCTGCTGTCTCGTGGCATTAATGGGTGAGAGACACCAAGCATGATCTATGTTGTGTCTCTTCCGCAGTTGGTGCCAGGGACCCGTTATACTCTTTTGACTCAATACGTCTGGAATGACTGCGAATACGAATACTTTGACAAGTTGGCGCGTGCCAGCCTCGAATTTAACAAGCGAGACGTTTTGACTCCAGAAAGGAGATCATAGTCATCGCCACACTGGAATTATCTTGATGGGCTTAAGTAGACACATAGCCTAAATTGTAGAGGGAGTCGGGAGAGGGTAGGCGGTGGGGGGAGGGGGTGGCAAGGTGGGATCTTGGGGATGGACATTTTATGTGTACAGCTCAATTTCTAAATCAGGACTAAGAACCCAATGAATCCTGGACACCTCTCGGGCAAGCAGGCGTGTACATTAACATTTACAAAGCTTAGGCCGAGGGCTAGGGTGCCACGGAGGTGTAGCTTGAGAATCTGAGTTGTTACATTTGCAAGCGCACGTAATGTTGCACAGTGTATGCATGTGTGCGAGTGAGCTGTGTGGGGAGCAGTAGTGTAGCTGTTAGCGCACTGCGCTGCGAACCTAGCCACCCGGGTTCGATTCCCGTTCACGGCCAAAATCTGTGACGATTATCTGAACCGGTCCTGTGCCTCCCCTAGGTCGACTCAGCCTCAAATAAGTACCTGGTACGGTGTGTAAACATCGCCACTGGGAATACAAAAGCGGTCGGGCGTGGTACCGGCCACCCACCCCCTCGGGTGCCGTTCTGGCCCTCATAGGTGCTCGATAACAGCACTTGCCCCAACAGTTTGTTACAGGCTATACGGAGGATATTTGTCTTTGTGTGCACAGCTGCCAGTCATCTCAGTCAGCTAAACCCCATTATACGCGAGAATGTTCGGTGACCTCCTGCCAGTGAGCCCGCGACACTTTACGCGGCCTCAAAGTGCACTTAGCCTGGCACGAGTGCTGGCGGCACAACCTTTGCAGCGGATGGATGCCGTTGACATTGTGGTGTGCTCACCGCCACCCATATAACGGGCCACTGAATGAGGGATGATGCAGGCACAAGCAGAGCCAAAATTCTAGTGTGCATGACCTGAGGCTGGTGCTGTGCTGTATGCAAAACTGTCCAACCCAGCCTTCACCTTCCCCTCCATTGGGTTCAGTGTATTTAATCCCAATGCAAACGTGGAATTTAAAATCATAATTTTGGACCGATGATAGATACAATCTTCCTGCCAGAGTTAAAACGTCTCATTCATTAAAATAAAGGGCTCGTTTGCCTCCCAGACTAGACATTGGTGCTTTCTCATCCGTGCCAGTCAGTCACCTGGCAAGGACACTACCTCACTTTGGGCTCTGCAAAAAAATGTATAATGCAATTGGATATTATATATATATTCACAATTTGGTGAAATAAAAGTAAAATTTTGTTTAAAAACACATTTATTACCAAGAATTCCATCGCATTACAAATCTCTCCTAGATTACAAGACAGAATAATTTTAGTCTAAATGGAAAGTGCTAGACAGCGTTTGGCTTTTCTCCACGAAATATTTGATCCAAACTAGAGTAATAGTTCAACATGCAAACTGAGTTTCACACAGGTGGCTCTTGTACAGGGATGCGCTCGAACACAATAGAGATATGTGCCGCATAAATGCACTGAGTGGATATGAAAGCAAAAGGAAAGAAACTACATCTAGGTGACATGGAGGCTGGTTCATTTTGAAAACCAGATGTCTTCTGTTTTGGTTGGTTGGTCGTATGGCGCATGAGTGGGTGGATGCCTGTCAGCAAGCTTGCGGTTTATGTGATTTTGTGTGTGCGTGTGTGCGTGTGTAATGGGGAGTGGTGGCACAGCGGTTAGCGCACTGCTCTAAGAACCCGGTGACCCGAGTTCGATTCCCGCTCATGGCCAACACCAGTGACGATAATCTGAACCAGTCCTGGGCATCCACTAGGTCGACTCAGCCTCAATGAGTACCTGGTGCAGTGTGTAAAAACATTGCCACTGGGGAGACAAAGGTGGTCAGGCGTGGTGCTGGCCTGCTGCAGCCTTCATAGCTGCTACTCGCTAATAGTACTTGCCCCAACAGTCTGTTACAGACTATACGGGGGATCTTTGTCTTTGTCACTTGCTGGGCAGGCCCCATTACACGCCGGCGGAGGGCAGTAATCCAATCAGGGTGCAGGGATGCCATAATGAGACAGACATATGTCAGGGCAGGTCCCACTGGGATGTGATATAGCCTCCGCAAATGGAGATGGCGGCTGAT